AGATTGCAAGTTGGTGTTCAGAGATATCAGCAGAAAACAGTCACAGAAACGGGTATTAAATACACAGAAAGTTGCAGTAATTATAGGATATAGTCATCTCTGCACACCTATAAAAATCAACGATAATTGGCCTCTTGTGCGTTACGTGATTGATGACTGGCATGACCGTGACCTGCTGAACTTGCATTGCGCGTGGGGATTGCTCGGCCATCTGGTTCCCGATGTTGATGTAGGAGGACGCGGTGGCCTATGCGTTCACCAAGTGGCGACCTGCTTTGGTCAAATTGAGCCTCAGCAACGAAAATGGATTGGGCAGGTCGTTGCACTTGTTATTGGACTGGGAGCCAATGAACCGTGACTCAAGTAATTCGCGACTCATAAGATTATCACCTCTTGCGAGAATTTTGGCCTCATTAAATTTGAATATGCGGCCATGTCTCGTCGAATGAGCCGCAACTTGAGAATTGACATACTTTTGCCGTAAAGCTGTCGTATGTTCGACAATTCGCGTCTCGAGAAGTCTTCCAGTTGTTCCGTCGTAATTGCTTTGTCCTATAGAGGACTCCAGATGTTTCTGGTCATGACGGTGGGTCTTTCGGTTTCACTATCTGACGCCTTATGGTTGCTTCCGGCCTGTGTGTGACTCCAACTCCAATAGTTGCGAAAAGGTGGCCAACGGCCTCCGAGACGTTTTTGACGTACGGGATTGCTCGCCAAAATTTGGGGTCGGTGCGATTTTGTTGCCCATCTCATTTGCACAAGCACCGGTTGGCGAAGTTGCGCGGATAGCCATTTGCCCTGAACACCTGTCGAAAATGGTGCATTTCGATAACTGTGTCTTTTGATTCACTGCAGTGCCTCTCAAAACGCCGATAAAGCGTACTTACGCAACTGCGTTTGTGGTTGATTGGGAGGTTGGTGTTAAAGTTCAGTACTTGCGTCGTGTTTGTCGCTTTCCTGAATGCTTTGGTCTTTATGCCATGCTACAGAGGCGGGACTCCCCATGCATTCACGGCAGTCGGCGAAAAGGACAGACTAGCTGAGTCGTGCCCACAGTCAAGCTGCCCATGGTGCGTATGTGGACGTAGTCGAGATGGTTCTAGAATACCTAGACTCACACTATACGTCAAGAATATTCTAGAAAGACTGGAATCATATAAATATGCCGGAGTGGGCAAGCTAAAGGACCCCATAAACCCCACTGTATTCGTGTGCTGTTGAATAAAGCCCTTGCCTATAAAAACCACACTCTTGCCTTCTCCTGCCTACTTGTCAGGTCAGAACAAACTGGGCTATAACAGGCTACCACAATCTTTGCGAAAAATGAGGAAATGGAGGAAGGCCAGCTGGTTATTTTCTTCCCCCTCCCTCGTAAATTGTATGTCCGAGGGGATGCTGTTGAAACTTTCTTTGAACGTAAGCACATGATCCGGTTCGATGACGACGAAGGTATCACCCACATACCGCGCCCAGAATTTCGGTCTGTGCTGTTGGAAGACCAGTGACTCTAATCGTTGTAGGACCGCCCCAGCTATGCGTCCCGAAATCGATGAACCCATTGATGCTCCCTTCACCTGTTCGTAGATTATTCCGTCAAACGTAAAGTATGTCCTGAGACAAAACTTCAGGAGTTGTAGGATTTGGGCATGTCGGAGGCGATTCGCCGTCGCATCGTATTTGCTTCGTAGGAGTAGTTCGACGGTCTCGACTGCCAGATCCTGGGGGATTGAAGTAAAAAGGGACGCGACATCAAAGGAAACCATGATATCATTTGGCAGGA